TAGCTGCATTTGCCAAACGACAAATTGCACTCGACGCTCACGCAGATGCAATTAAAAGAAGAAGGCCTGCGAAGGCGGAGAAGACATTTTAATACGCTCCGCATGTTCCATGTCACAAGTCCACATAGCAGCCGAACACTGAAATCCTGAACATCAACACAACCATGCAACATCATTCTGTCACATTAATTCACCAACACCATCGCATTAATTGTGAAGATCATTATCAACAGCGTCATCAATCGACACTTGATTTGTTTCATTATCACAAATAAATGACAAAGCCATCAGTTGTGGCGAATACATCATCACCGTCACCATCATCATCACCATCATCATCACCGTCATCATCATCGTCACCATCATCATCATCGTCATCATCATCACCAACTTTAGTTTTTTCATTAACCCTCCTAGAGATACAACAAACATACACACACACACACACACACACACACACACACACACACACACACACACACACACACACATACAGCCATTCGTGCTTGTTAGTCATATAAACGTCATGGTGATGACGGCACATCATCATGACGTAAGTCATGCAAACACATCATACCAACCGAACAACATCATAATATAAGCATATGACGCCCTCTTCAAATACATAAAATAGTTGTTATATTTATTCTCCAAAATCACAATATTGTGACGAAAGTATATAGAGCCGACAATTCTTAAACAACATTCATTTAAACTGGCAATCATTGATTCAAATGTTTCTGTTGGTTTTCACAGTTAATTGTTACATTTGTTACATGTGACGAGTGGAATGTTGCAAACTCTGTTGCATGCCGTGAAACCTTCCCGTGTTTGTTACTTAGCTTGTTGCAGGGAATGAATGAGGGAGATAGGAGGCAGAAGAAAAATAAAAATAACGCTAATTAAATTTGCACTGAAGCACGCATGCATAAATAATATCTTGAAAACATTTCACTAATAAAAACTTTATCAAATTTAATCGCTAATTTAAAACGTTGTCATTTTATTAAATAAACTCCAAAATGTTTTTTGTTAGGAAATGTTTTCATGATTTTTGTTAAATTTTTCACTTTGAAACATTTTGTATTGAGACGCGCCTGTGAATGGTGAGCCGCCATCCAACACACAATGCACCTACGCTCGTACGTTGTATGTTTATTCTGCTCGTAATTGTGTCGGTGCGTGTGCGTGCGTGCGCGTGTGTGATTGTATCCGTGTATACTTATCTACGTACCTTTTTTGTGCTTATAATGTGTTAAGCACGTGTGTAAATGTAGATAAGTGAAATGGTTTCACTTTTGGTTTAGTTCTAACTCAAAATGAACATTATATAGGAAGTCCAAAATTGTTTTGTTATGAAAGCGTTATCTCAAATTTATTTGAAAAAGCCTAGAACAAACTTAATTACGTCAAAAATGTCACGTGATGAAAGGTCAAAGTCATCAAGCCGATGAAAGAGCAGGGTGACGGAGGTTTCCTCCACTCAGCATACCTCATTCTTCAACTCCTCCATGCTCCTCCTAAGAAGTCAGCGAAGACGGAAGGTTAATTTACACGATGTCGTGTGTGCGTGTGTATGTGTGTGTGTGTGTTCAGGTGTGTGTGTATGTGTGCGTGTGTGTGCCTGTGTGTGTGTGCTTCAAACTCCTACAACTACATGGTAATCCAGTTGCATACGCAGCAACGTTCAATGCTATTAATGAATTCAATCATTCATTCATTCATTCAATCATTCATTCATTCATTCAATCATTCATTCAATCATTCATTCATTCACTCTCTTTATTCTACAACTCAAAATTATAAACTCCAACATCTGCAGATTACAAAGTAAATAAATAAGTACGGTGAAATCACTTAGAGTCGGATGTGGCGTCAAACAAACAGACCGATTAGTTTCATCCAGACTGGCTGCTACCCTCTGACATGCTACTTCGTCGTACAGCCGTCTCCAATTGAAATTTATACAAATTCCTCTCACAGTAAAGAACAGTTACGTTTCTATATTTGATCATTGAAAGCTTGTGATAGATTTATGCAACATGTCCAGATAAAAATATTATTTATACCATAGATCAGAGATAATATCGTGTGGCTGGTGCACCGCATGTGCTTCTGGTTATATTAGGGCAGACACACACCACCACACTACACACATTAATAAATGAAAATAATAAACAGAAATTAATTTCAAACAGAAATTAATGAACAAACACACGCACATACAAACAAACACCTGGGTGTCCTACACCCCAGGTTCAAACATGATGGAATAATGTTTTGTAAGTATTTTATTGAACATAATATAAACAAAATAATATGAAACTGATAAAAAATACAATGTTTTTGTTTAGAATTAATTGTAATATATATATATATATATATATATATATATTTATATAAATATATATAAAACAATGTTATATAACTTTTCACAATAGTCTTACCTAAGTTAATTTTTTGAGGCAACTGTAAAATATTGATTAATTAGCAACAATGTTTTATAGTTTATTTGTCGTTTTAAGCATCAGTACAGGTTTCACAAACCAGACGGCTGTGATTTTGACAACATGGTATACCGCATGATGAACATCGGCTTTTGGTTTTCCGATCCGATGAGCGTGGGCAAATGCCACATCTCTTCTGTCCTGAAGATTCTGGTTGCTCTGCCTGAACTGCTATGGCAGGTTGAAAACCCATTGCTTTGAATGCCAGCTTCACTTGCTTCTGCATAACAAACGGATTTTCACTTCGTCGTTGAAGGTGTTCTTCTACCAGCTCTTCAGAAAGATTTTGTAAAAATAATCATCGTTTGTGCATCTTTTTTTCATTCCATTGTGGATTTTTTGCTATCCAAACAACACAACACAACACAAGCAACATCAATGACGTTAAAGAAGAGTGTCATTGGCCATCTGCTAATTTTTCGTTTGCAGCTGCACAGTCCAACTAGGTGATCGAGATTGTCTACTCCTGATTTTGTTTTGTTGTAATGATCAATAATGTCTGGTTTGTTGTTGTTGTCAACATCAACTGCAGCATCATGATGCATGCTCGAGAGCAGAATTACTGCTTTCCCTTTTCTAGGAACATAGCTGGTCAATGTTAATTGATTGTCAAAACAAAATATTGATGACAATTCTTCTCTTGATCAATTAGGAAGTAATTTTTTTGGTATATCTTGCTTATTTTTTCGCATTGTTCCAACAATGGTAGTTTTCACGGTCAAAAGATCTTCGGCGAGACTACATGAAGTGAAGTAATTATCCATGGTTATATTGATGCTATAACATTTATTATTATTATTTCACATTTATTATTATTATTTCATTATTGCAATACTAATTTTAGTTTAGATGATTTCAGGACTATTGGGGTGTAGGACGCCCCAGGTTGACAAAATATGCCGTAAGACACTTCAACGCTCACATACTCAAAACCAAATATTTGAATTAAGCCAGATTTTGCCATATTCTAGGTGAAGGAAGGTTATAAGATGTCACAAAGGTATATAATTTAATTTGTTCAAATATCTGAGATACAGAGTAATTTATACCCTCTGGGGTGTGATACATCCCAGGTTGATGACATAAGGTTAATCTTCATCAGCATTCGGACGTCGGACTCTTTCGTGCAAACACATCTTCCGAGGAGCTTCCCTCCCCTTAAATCAACCCTCAATAAAGTAATTGCTACATTCAAATCGACGACGACAACAACAACGACAACACAAATAAAACAACAATACAAATGCAACAACGTAGAAACTTCAACAACAACTCATTGATACGCACAATAACACACGAATCAATGCGAAACCTCACGCAACAACACACAGTAAGCAGCCTACACAAGACAACAACACACCAGTTAGCACATACAGTGGCACAAACAGCAAAGTGAAAACCACATTAGAAAACAACAACAGCATTGATGTCAACTCTGATATCAACAACCAAGAAGTGATGTCTTCGTACAACTCATAAACTACTACATAAAAAATATTCCAGCAAATTTTAATAAAACAAAACCATTAAAGAAAATTAAAAAACACACCCAAATATATAACAACATTTTAAACATAGCAACTTCTAAAAACAACATGAACTGAGAACAACAAAAACACTGAAAACAACAACAACAAAACAATAACACAAAAACAACACAACAACAACACAATAACAACACAACAGCAACACAACAACAACACAACAACAACACAACAACAGCACAACAACAGAACAACTATGATCACAAAAGCAGCAAGAGTAAGAAGACAATTTTGTAAGCGTACAAACAAAAAGATACTTCCTTATCTGGGCAGTAAATTTAAGCACGCCAACAACAAAACCACAAAAAGATACATCAACGAACAATATCAACAACAACAACAACTACTACTACAACAACAGTAAATTTCATTGTTTTTTGTTCCATTTAATTTTCCGTTTCTAAGAAATAAAAAAATGCATTCTCGTTTGAAGGCTGGAATTTGTATTTGTAGATGGTTTTTGCGGAATAATGTTGTTCCAAGTTTGCATAAGTAAGACGTTTTCGACATGCTTATTTTTTTTGCAATTATGTTCATCGCGCAATAAGTTTTCTTTTGTTAATTTTGTGTATGGAGCTGTTTTCGTACGTTTGAAGAGTTCTTCTGCTGTTAAAAAATCCTTCGACCGATCGTCCATGCTTGGAATCGATATATTTCATTCCGCGACACGTAGAACATGGCAGCGACGCATGGTTGCATACCCATGCTAACCGCAACAACCATTATGACGTAAACTTCCTGCATGTAAACACTTGCTGGCACGCATGCAGCAATGCACACACGCACGTGTGTGCATTAATGCATCTAGGCACACAGGCATCAGTGCAATCTCACACATATGAACAAACTTAATCAACAGTATCTAAAGTTCATTCAGACACACAAACCTGCACTTAAAAACGCTTCCACGAGATATTCCAACTCTCACGCACACACACACACGCACACACACACGTATAGAATATTTTTAAAATATCGCACAACAAATACATTTGTATTTAAGTACTATCATGCGCGCTCTAGTGCATTGGTGCATATGCAATGCATTGACACATGCAGCACTTGTACGTGCACACGCACATACAGGCACACGTACGCACATAATGCGAGTATTGTATCTTTTAAAAATACCTCTCCTGTCACATTGAATCAACCTATTAATCATTCAAATATCATACATTTTTATGGCACCTCCTTAACATATAAAAATGCAGCCATGAAAATTCACCTAACAAAGCGTCACATCACATCATCGCACCATTACAGCATCACATTATTACATCATCAAATCATTACAACAAGACATCATCACAACATCACATCATCACAACATCACATCCAAACAGTGCATCATGAACATAACAACACCAATCCGCAACTTAACAACGAATAATGTAGGAACATGCATACCATCACATCAATCTCACAACAACAACGAAGTAGGAACATCAACGTGACATGACAACAACAAGTTACCATAGCGTAATATCACATCATCACAAAGTCACAACAACATAGCAACACAACATAGCACCTTATTTTGAACGTTGTAGTTTCTTAATTTTAATTTGATCTACAATGTTTAAATGAATTAAAATTTCTAATTTTATTCAACTTTTTTACATTTCTGTTCTGTTAAGCAATTTATAGACTTGTCTGCTGATAATTCCTCGCATGTTTTCAGTGGCGGATCCAGGGGGCGTGAGAGCGTTAGTTGTGTTGAAAGAGTTCAAAGTTTCAACGTGAAAAGTAGTGTTTTGATGGGGAAATAAACATAAAAAGCCCATCGGCAAAAATGTTGACCCCCGTACAAATGTTGCCCCTCTCGTGAGTACAAAAAAATTTTCGAAACAAATTTTCAAAAATCTCCCCCACGGTTACCAATGTTTTGAGTGAGTCCCCTCCGACCGTCCAACTCCAGTCATCGCCTTTCATTTTCAATTTCCTTCCCTCGGTTATCAAGTTTTTGTTGACCCCAAATCGTCAACTTTTTCGAAAATCTCTCGTGACCGCTCCGTCAAATTTGACTATAACTGCCACAGCTTGTCTTGCTTGTTTCAATTTGTACGTTGTACGTATAAAAGTTCATCTAGTACAATTTTGTGAGTCGATAAATTATTTAAAAAAAAGACATTCAATATTAAACACATATAAACATATAAAAATATATATATATATACATAAATGAACGAACGAACTACTGAATGAATGAATGAATGAATGAATGAATGAATGAATGAAAGAATGAAAGAATGAATGAATGAATGAATGAATGAATGAATGAATGAATGAATGAATGAATGAATGAATGAATGAATGAATGAATGAATGAATGAATGAATGAATGAATGAATGAATGAATGAATGAATGAATGAATGAATGAATGAATGAATGAATGAATGAATGAATGAATGAATGAATGAATGAATGAATGAATGAATGAATGAATGAATGAATGAATGAATGAATGAATGAATGAATGAATGAATAAATGAATGAATGAATGGACATTAAAATGTTTTGAGAGTTATGAAGCAGCGTCATTGAAGGGATCTGCTGATTAGCATGAGTTATATGGCACTACAAACCGTTCAACATACATCATCAACAATACTTCTATGTCTGTCTTGTTATTGTATGCTCTTTGTATAGAGTGTTGGTGTGTTGTGTTCGCGAAATGTGGGCTGTGTGTTTGTGTTTGGTGTGTTTGTGTTGTTTTTTGTACGTACATCTATACTTTACTTTTTAATAGATATTTTATATTCTTCATCTTCACTTTCTTTTTCTTCTGCAGTTTCACGGCGTTTCAGCTCTGATAGGCTATCTTTACGCATTTGGTCTTTGTTGTGAATCATTTCAAAAGCGAGGGCGATTAGATGTTGAAAATGTTTATTTTCATAACGTATGGCCTAAGGTTTACTATATTTTCAATTTTAAAAATTGAGTGTATATTTTCAAAATTTGATATATTTTTCTGTTTTTGTTAAATGTATGACATTCTGGTAATGTGTGTTGGATTGATAGTCTTGTCTTGCATTTCTCACAAAGTAAAGGAGGCCTTCTTTTGTTTAATATCCATGAATGGGTTACTTTAGAAGGACCGACTTTTATTCTACTTATCATGTTTAAGTTATTTCTAATTAGTTCATTGAGTTTGATATTTTTGGATTTATTAAATTTGCGCATAGCTACTTTGAGAAAATTCGTCATCTTGTTCCATGTTGCCATTTTTCATATATAAAGTCGTTTATATTCACTCTCATGTCGTGATGTGGTGTTGGAAGGGTTGATGGAGGATCCAAGTGAGCTTGTGATGCCATTTGATCAACTTTTTCGTTACCTTCAATCCCAATGTAGCTAAAGATCCAGATTAAGGATAGATTGTTTTTGTTATTTAGTATGTCGTGAATTTTGTACTGCATCTGAGCGATCAATTGTTGTCAAGGGTTGTACCGTTTCAATGCTAGAATAGTTGACAAAAATGCTGGAAAAATTTTTACAGTTTTTCCTGTTGAATTATATATGAAGAAAATGCCATGTTCATAGCTCTTATTTTTGCTCTGAAAATTGAGGTGTAGCTTGGAAGATGTTAAGTACGACTTTTGGTACATTGACTGGAAAGCTCACTGCAAACCTGTCTTAGCGGTTATAACAATAAGTATATATATATATATATATATATATATATTATTAGAAAATTTTTATAGCGCCCTTCAATGCAACTCAAAGGCGCTGCTTTCGTCTGGTGAAATCATGGGGAAAAAAGATACGTCTTCAAATCTTTGCGAAACTTCTGAATAGTTGAACCAAGTTGACGGAGGCTGTATGGTAGCGAGTTCCAAATATGTGAACCAGCAACGGCAAAATTCCTGTTGGCCACCTTCAAATTTGTTTAAAAACAAATAACATATCATCTGAGCGTAATTGCAAGTGATGAATAGTTTTCGGTTTGTATAAACACCTTTCAGACAAGTAGCTTGGGCTTAAGCTATTTAAACATTTGAAAACCATAACGGCAAGCTTGAAGATGATTCTTTTTTCAACTGTGAGCCAATGGAGATCTCGTAGAGTATTACTGACATGGTCGTATTTTAACCCACCGGAAATGATCTTAGCAGCACGATGTTGAATTGACTGAAGACGATTAATCAATTGATTTGAAACTCCGTAAAAATGCTGTTGCAGTAATCCAATTTTGAATGAATGAATGCGTGTACCAAACATTTCAAGGTGTCGTTATTAACTGATTTTTTACTTGTCTGAGTTTGCGAAGTTGATAGCAACGATCTTTAACCAATGACTTTGTATGTTGATCCATTGACATTGCAGTATCAAATACAACGCCCAGATTTTTAACAGAAGTGCAGAACTCAACATCAGAGCCACCGATGTTGATGGGGTTAATATTAATCTTTTTTAATTGCTGCCAAGTACCGATAGGCAGAATTTGTGTTTTGTTTTCGTTTAGTTTTAGTTTATTATCTACCATCCATTCACTTAATTCATTAAAACAACGTAAAAAAATCTATCAACCATCGCATCAAAACCCGGGTCTGTGTTACCGCAACTAATTATTTGCAAATCGTCCGAAAAGGCAATATATATATATATATATATGTTGGTAATAGACCATAATTTTTACAATATTCTATAAATTCTACCGAATGTTTGGCGTTAATATGTTTGTAGTTCGTTTTTTCGAACTTATGCCAGAAAAAATTTATAAATGCATATATGCAATCATCAAAACTAATCGAAAAAACGAACTACAAACATATTAACGCCAAACATTCAGTAGAATTTATAGAATATTGTAAAAATATATATATATATATATCTATATATGTATGTATATATATATATGTATATATATATATATATATATTCTTAATATATAAAATCTTAATATATAAAAGGTTCTTAAACCTTTTAACAACGAGATGTTGTTCTTACCTATTGGTCGCGACACCTCAATTTGAGTTTCTTGGTTACAATAATTGAGTTGTGTTATCTTAAACCTTATTCGGCAGGCTACTGACGAGTCTCGTGAGAGACGAAACGTACGTCTGGCCAATGGCGGGTAATGGTTTACCAATAATATATATATATATATATATATATATATATATATATATATATAACGATGTCTAAACAACTACATTAAATATTACATTGAAAACATTTCATAAATCAAAATGCACAAATAGGAATTCTTATGTAAAACCATGTTGGATTGGAAGGTCTGAACCTCTTGGAGCAGTTGTGGTGGATCTGGACTCTGAAAGCCTTAAGACAACCATGTAGAGACACTTGATTTTCCAAAAAATGCAAGTTTTCCGTCCAGTTTTTCAAAAAATTTTTGCAACAAGTAAATTTATTTCAAGAAAAGTTGCAGCAGTGTGTTAAAGTGGAATTTTCAAAAACAGTTTATTGAAAACTAACTTACCGTCTTGGTTGGCGGATGGAATGACATTATCATGTATCCCGCAGGTGCAAGTACTGGCTGTGAAATTGTTTAAAATGTTGGTGGAAAATGTTGCTGATCCATCATTGTTTGAATATTTTTCAATTTATATCATGAGAGCGTTTTTTGTGGTGGTCCCAAGGATTTGTTGTGAAGGCCCTGAATTTGGCCAAAGTAACCAGCATTGGTCATCACTGATGTAGGCAAATATGAGCGGACACACGGATGCATTCGGAAGCACCTCGAATCATCATCAAACACAACTTTCCATAAATATTTAAAATTATTTCTTTTGCTCGTCGCTGACAAACTGCTCATTTCCTTTATCATCATCATCGTCGTCGTCGTCACCATCATTATAATCATCATCATCATTATCATCATCATTATCATCATCCAGTTAATAATCGTCATTAAACATCATCTTTACTGCCATCTAAAACCCCGAAAAACATATCGAAAAAGTTTACAATGAATGTTTTTTTATCTTTGCTATCCTTATCATCATTATGGTTGTCATCATTAAAATGATAATTATCGTACATTACAGTCGTCGTAAACATCTTAGTAAATATTATCGCCAACGTGAAAAGCCTTGCGTAAACATCATCATCGTCGTCGTCATCATCACAATCATTATCCCAACAATCATCACAATCATGGCAGAATCTTTTCATCATATTCTCATCATTATCCCTCACATCATCTTCTTCCTAAATATTGCCATCCTGTCGTCCTTACGTTCATATCTGACTATTATGATGATTTGTACTCATCATCATCACCGCTATTTTCATCATCATCATTGTTTTCATCATCACCATCAGTTTCATCATCATCACCATCAGCCACTATTATTATCATCATTCATGTCGTCACCAATGTTATCGTTTTTGTTACCGAAACCCTGTAGGGTGATTCTCGCCAACCTCGTGCAATGCTCGTGAGGAGTTGATTCATATTTATTTATTTATATGCCATTTATTGATTTATTTACGTTGTCTGTTTTTTGTTGATACCTTTGATGAAAACTAAAGAAACGTTTGTAAAAAATGTATAATGAGATGATGATGTGAGAGGATGAGATGATGATGTGAGATGAGATGAGGATATGGCAGTGGTATGACATGAAAAATAGTAATAAAAATGGAAGGGCTTGATGTTGAGAGGATGCGATGAAATGTGATTATAAGACATGTTATGATGATGATGAAGATGAAATGATATGAGATTAGATGAGTGAGGTTGAAAGAATGTACGTTATGTTAGCCAGAACTTATCTAGCCAATAAAATCCGTCCAATTGTTTTATAATGGGACACTAATGTTTGCCAGACTAAACCGATCTTATAACGTCATGCCACTTCCGCTTTAAAAATGTTTTGTATCATTGTGCAGCTTTCATTGTTCAACAGTATCATTGTGCAACTGTATCATTGTTCAACTGTATCATTGTGTTACTGTATCATTGTGCTATTGTATCATTGTGCAACTGTATCATTTTGCTATTGTATCTTTCTGCTACTGTATCATTGTGCAATTGCATCATTGTACTACTGCATCATTGTGCTACTATATTCATGTGCACTGTATGATTATGCTACTGTATCATTGTGCACCTGCATCATTGTGCTACTGTATCATTGTGCAATTGTATTATTGTGCTACTGTATCATTGCGCAATTGTTTTATTGTGCTACTGTATCATTGTGCTATTGTATCATTCTGCTACTGTATCATTGTGCAATTGTTTTATTGTATTTTAATTTATAATAACATATATATCATTGCATTGCATTGACTAATATTACCCTGTCAAGTAAGATGTATTTGTTCTGTACTTGTATGATTGTGGGTTTGTTGTTGCTGTTTTTGTTTTTGCTGTTGTTGTTGTTGCTGTTGTTGTTGTTGTCGTTGTTGTTGCTGCTGCTGTTGTTGTTGTTGTTGGATGTGTGTGTTCTGTTTTTAGAGAAGAACGCTTATTAATTGAGATAGTTTTGAGTATATCTGGCTGGCGCCGTGTTGCTCCTCCCTTGTTCTCTCCATCGTTCTGCTTTCCTCCAATCAGTCCGTTGCTACTCGTTTCATGTTCTCACTGTGAGTGAGGCTGGCTCGTAACGTTCTCGTTCATTGCTTAGGTTGGAAGTTAATCACCAAACTTAAAACATAAATAATAAGTAGAAAGATGAGTGAGTAAGTGAATGAGTGAGTGAGTGAGTAAATGAATGAATGAAAGAATGAATGGATGAATGGATGGATGGATGAATGAACGAATGAACGAATGAACAAACGAACGAACGAACGAACGAATGAATGAAGAAGCCAGCAGGCCACCAAATTAATGAACTTTTTAATATTTCATCACCTCCAAACATGATCAATAAATCTCGAGCGACTCCGTGGAAAGAGCAGCAAATTTTATTCAATTAGAGTCACAATACTCAAATAAAAAAAAAAATTAAATGTTGATGGCCATTAAAAATACGATTGTAATGACAACGACCACATCAACAACAACATCAACATTCACAAACGACAACATCAACAACAACAACATCAACAAACAAACATGAGCATTAAGAAAGGAGATGACATAACTCATTATGATAATGATGATTAGGAAGATGGAAGCTTCGATAAGTCACGTAAAAATTAAACATGAAGATGATGACGTTGCCTTTTATGGTAATGAGGAATGATGATGATGATGCAATGATAATGATAATGATTCTGATAATGATGATGATGATGATAATGAGAGCAATATTTGTGATAATTTTAATAATGATAGTAATTAATATTTGTGATGAATATTTAGGTTATGACGATGGCGATGTTCTTCCAGTTACTAAGGTTATTAACTAGTAGTTCCGGTTCGGATATTGATTACCCTCTACCATTTATTGAGAGAGGTATGAAAATCGTCACGTTGGTCAGTTTGGCGGTTCTTAACGACAAACATAGCGTCATCTCGTATATATTTTAATTTAGTGGTCATTATTATCAAAATAATCACCACCCATCATCATCTTCATCATTGTCATCATCTTGTTCATCTACATCATTTTCAAAATCGTCTTCATCTTCATCATCGTCGTCATCTTCATCATCGTCCACATCCTGATCATCTTCATCATCTTCATCATATTCTTCTTCATCTTATCAGATATATTAATTGAACATTGTTGTTTGTTGTTGTAACCGGTTTATCGTTCGCTCTATTAAAAGTTATAATTTTCAAACTATTTAGGGTAAATACTTCGTCAAATATTAAAAAAAAATTTAATTTTATAAAATAATTTAATTTTATAAAATAATTTTTGAAAAAATTTCTGTTAATTTGCCCGCTTGGATAATTTGCGTAAAAACATGACTGAGAAAACTGTACTAATAGCAAATGAGTTATTGTACTATTTGTTTAGCAATGTGAAGTTTTTGGATAACCCAAACTTTGTGGCAGCTGCCTTCGAGTTTTACACTGCTGAGGAGATAAACGTTGCTAAAAACCAATTATTGGCAGATATGGAAAGTTTAAAGTCTGAAAACTTTAAATTTTCTCAACGTAGTAGCACGAGAAAAGAGAAAACGGCAGACAAATTAGCGGAATTGGTGGCATATGTTCGGCAAATTGTGGCAAAACTTCCCTGCTACGTAAGTTGTGACATGAATAGAGTTCCGAAGATCTCTCTAGTAAATGTTGAAGCTATATTTAAGAAAATGGCTGAAATTGAACAGCTGGTTTCTGATTTTACTTCGAAGTTTATTGAAAACTCAAACTACGTCCAATCAATTGCTAACAAACTGGAGCATGTACACAAATTCATTGGTCAGCCTATAACAGATCAGAGGCCCACTTTTAACAGCAACGTAAACAATAGTACAAGAGTGTATAAGTATGATACCTTCAACTCAAGTAATATGCAGCCATTCACTGTAGCATCTGGAAATAAAAAGCGTCTACTTACAGAAGTTATCACCAGTAATACATCGCATTCAAATTTAACTGTATTCAATAATAATAAAATGAATGATCGGGATAAACACGAAACTGGTTCTAAAATAATCGGACGTTCCAATAAAGAAAATATAAAAATAAGGGCTAATAAAGTTCTTGTAAATAAATCTTTCTTCTACGTTAGTAACCTTGATAACAGTTGTACTGCCGACGACATTATGGACCATTTACGTACAAATAACATCAACGTCATATCGTGTTTTGATATCAAGCGACCTGAAACTCAGCAAGAATCCTCTGCGACAACAAAATCTTTCTATAAATCTTTCAGAGTGGGAATAGATAGCCGAGATACCTGCAAAATCATTGACCCTGACATCTGGCCATCGAACGTTCTAGTACGTGAGTGGTTCTTCAAAAAATCAACAAATGAAGGCATTCAGTTCACAAGCAATAAAAAAACACTCAATGAAAACCTTCGGACAACATTCGACAAAAATACGACACAAAATGGATGATTCCCAGAAATGTACCAGCAGCTCTACGGAATGGTTAACTAAAGACTTGCAAATTAATAATTATAATCATTATCAAACTGTTGAACATTTTTGCTTAGATTTTCTTGAAAATTTTAAAATAAAATCTAATTATTTGTCACTACTACATATAAATGCACGTAGCTTATACGGTAAAATGACTACATTAGATATTTTGATTAATCAGTTTAATTCATTTTTCAATGTGATAGTCATAACTGAAACATGGCTGAACGAATTAGCTGTGCTTGAATTGATTCAGAAAGTCTTCAAGACTTTAAACAACAGAAATCTTACTTAGGTATTTTCATAGATCTGTCAAAAGCGTTTGATGTCATAAACCACGAATTACTCTTGAAGAAATTATATATGAATGGAATAAGAGGTGTAGCCTACTCGTGGTGTGAAAGCTATCTTAGGGATAGAAAGCAATATGTTGCATTAGAAGGATTTAAATCAGAATGTCTAAACATCAACGGTGGAGTTCCGCAGGGCTCTATTCTCGGACCTCTTTTGTTTGTCTTGTTCATTAATGACATTGTCAACGTGACTGATTCGGCAAATATTTTACTATATGCGGACGATACTAACATATTTTTTACTTCAAGGGATTTTAAACTGGAAAGTGTTCGCATAAACCAAGAATTGCAAAAATTCGTAGATTGGTTTATTCTCAATAAATTAGTTGTTAATTTTACAAAATGTTCATATGTGTTATTCGGCCCCAGAATAATTACTAACACAATAGGCAACCTTGATATAAGAATTAACAGTCTGGCATTACCTAGATCATACTCTACAAAATTTTTAGGTGTGTTAATAAATGATGATCTTTCATGGGAACCACATATAAAATCAATTTCAACTAAGATCAATAAAATACTAGGTATATTATATAAAATCAAATCAAAAATAAACTATGACATAATGATTGAACTTTACTATACCCTAATATATCCACATTTAATTTATTGTAATTTTTTATGGGGCGAAAGTCCAGAAAGCCATTTAAATTATATTCAAAAATGTCAAAATCGGTTTATAAGACTAATATTTACTCTTCCACCGCGTACTCATATAACCAATGTTTACTATTCGACACTCAACATTTTACCCATTAAAGAATTGCACATTTATTTCACATCAATTTTTGTATTTAAATTTTTATGTCAACAGTTGCCTAATTATTTTGCCAATTTTTTCACTTTTAGCAATGACATTCAAAGAAAATTTACTAGACACACTTCCCTTTTCTATTCTCATACTGTGAGATTAAAAGCTTTTCACTCAAGCATCAAACTGTATTGCCACATGAAATTAAAACAATCAACTCATTACACTTATTTAAAAACAAGCTAAAAACTTTTTTAGTTAAAAAAAACACTTATTTTAAATAGTTTTACACTATTTTACAACTTATTTAATTTTGATGTTCTTAGTAAGCGAATTTTTCAGTCTCAGTTGTGACTATACTGTCACCTTTAGGTACTATATGAAACATGACAGTATTCATAGAATGATGTACGTGTGAGCATGTGTTTGTGTATATGTATTTATTTGACATTTCTGTTACATTTATAGTAAGCATTTGTGTGTATGTATTTATTGACATTTCTATTACATTTCTAGTAAGCATTTGTGTGTATGTGTTTATTTGACATTTCTGTTACATTTACAGTTGGAATTCTTAGTTAAGGGTGGCCTATCCACAAGTTTATCTTTTTTTGGTTATCCTTTAAATAAATAAATAAACCCAAACGCCCCGGTTTACGATTGTCTTCTTGTTCTCACTTCTTCTTAACTCGTGTTAAACACTCTTTTGCTAAATCTGCATTTGCTTTTTTTGGTCCTTTTCTCTGGAACACTCTACCTCCTTCTCTAACTACTTCTCTATCACTTGCGAAGTTCAGAGCGGATATCAAGACCCATCTGTTTCTAAAATTTATTGAGGAGCGCTGTTTAATATCTCTGAAACAGAGCTTTATAAACTAATTGATTGATTGGTTGGTTGATATTCATCATCGTCATCAATAGTGTTATCATCTTCACCATCGTTCTCATCTCGATCGTCATCATCTTCATCATCATTAGTGTTGACCTAGATCATCGTCACCATCATCATCATCGTCATCATCTTCATCATCATTAGCGTTGACTTAATTAACCTCGCATGCATCATTATTGTTGGACGTTATTTTCATTTCCCCCCT